CTCTCACACATATGTATAATTATGTATGGGTGTTTGTGTCTATGCTTGAATCTGCATTCACSTTCCCATAAGAGTACATACGAGTGTCTCTTTTATTTTATACACGCTTGCTGGCGATTGTGAATCAAATATGGGTCAGGGCCGTTGGTTGGACGTAATTTGGAGGATGATGAGCATTTAAAGCTGATAGCACTTGAGGCCATTAACAAATGAGACACTTGGCACAGATTTGCATAATAAATGATGTGTGTAGATAGAATGTGGATAATGTATTCATATGTGGTGGATATATAAGAAAGTATATGAAAGGGGACACGTTTTCATGCTAGCACTTTAATGGGTCATTGGGTGTCATTAAAAAAAAGGTCATAAGTAAATATGTAATAATTTGTGGTTATTTTTTTAATGATTTGATATTGTTAGCTAGTTATCTGACAGTCATAGCCAACTGATAGTCAGCTAGACAATAATTAGCCATGAATCGCCAGCCAATTGACAGAATTTTCACAGAAAAACGTCTGAATTTTATCCGTATCCTTATCTTTTCCTGAAAGTGATCTCTTTAAACCTATCCTTCCTATTTCTTCTTTCATGACAGCACGAACTGATGTAAAATTCTATCAGACACTTTCTAAAACAAAAAAAGTTAACTTCGGATGCACCGAAGCTAAAATACCCTTCACAAGTGCATTTTTATAGCATAAAAGGGTCTAAAAAGATCATTACCCTGATTTTGATCGATCAGTTGGTATGGCAGCTGTATGCTACATTCATCGGSGGYTCCAACAAATGAGCAGCTCCTTTATAAAAAAAAGAGCGTGTGCAAAACTTCAGCTCCATATCTCCAAAACTAGCTCACGTATATTCACCCAGATCTCCGCCGTTTACTTTTGTTATACTAATCTGTATTTCTGTTATCCCTTGGTAATTTGTATATACGGATATCCCCATGCAAGTTTAAATYTTCTTTATGAGACCCTAATTTTCCACTAATGCCTAAGAATTGCAAATACAATTTTTATTGCAATTACTACCGGTGATTAGTATGAAAAAGGAGGAGACTTACAAGATGATACCTAAGCAACAACAACCACAAATATTACTCACACCACTTTATTCCCAGACAACTTGCATGCATATACGTACTCGTGGCAACAGCAGGTTTGCATGCAACGTCAACAAATAGCACATCAAAGTGGTGGTGAAGGTGAAACAAAAGCCGGCTTGTTGCATGCAACAACCTAAAAAGAGCAATTTATTTACACAATCCAATGGTGTGCCAGACAGTTTATGGTCGAGGATTTGCGTTCGTACAATTTACAGGCCATCGCTATGACTCGTTCGTAACTAAGACGAGCTCTCGCTTAAGATATCACTGCTGGCGCATGTATACTAGGTGCGTATGTACCGTTATGCACATACAAACGTTAATACAATTGRTTGCGAAGAGTGGTGGCGGCCGGGGGATGGTCCGAGTGAGTCTCTCATGTAAGGGCCGCTGTTGGGGTGTGGAATTACGACGGCATGCCTTTGAGTTGCGTGTATTGTTGTAGTGGTTGCATACTTTCATCCTCAGACTGTCTGTAATTTGCACTTACGGGTATGACTAGTTTTTAAGCTGTTGCCCCTGGAACTACGGCATCGTGCGTATGTACATACATACCGGCATACTAACTGTAATTGGAATGATGTGTAACAAAAACCGAAGCAACAACAAAATCTCTTCACATACACAAACACACACRCACACATGGACGGAAAACAAGTGAGTAGAGTGTTCGTTTTGCAACAATTGTCGGTGTACGTGCGAGTCTCTTTTTACGACAACAAATGGCCAGCCAACCGGTCATCCATGCTCAATGGTCATTTCCGTAAGTGGCTAAGGACTTTTGTAGTGTTTTCTAGTTTTGCTCTTTTCCTACGCAACTCCAGCTCTTGTACACCTCCTTGTATTAATGTTGTCTTAATTTTTTCGAATGGAAATCATTCATCTCAATTACGAAAATTGTTCGGTGTCGATTGGGATAATTCACCAATGTGTATGTATGTGTAAATGTACAATGCTTTTGTTTTCTAAAGACTGTAGACTTGTTGTAAGCTTTATTTAATATTTGCCGACTACATATACATAAACTTATATACATAAATCTGCATGTGTATGTATGTATAAGAAAACTGAGCTGGCATGTTTGAAAGGGTTTAGTGGATTTGTATGTATGCGTGTTTATTTGTTTGGCTGTAAGTACTAACATTTCCAGTGAACTCGTATTTGAATTCTTGCAAATTAATCAGATTATTGGGACTTTTTATTGTTGGTTGGTGAGATTGTCATGGCAGTAGTTACTTAGGTGAGGGTTTGGTCAGACCCGGTCGGACTATTTGTTAATAAGTGCAGAAGGTTAGGGTATTTTGAATGCGTCTATATTTTGAGATATGGCAACACTAGTGTTGCAATTTGAAACCAACAATTTTAAGATGATATTTTTGATTGGCATGCATACTCAGAACGTTATGGAAACAAGCGATATGTGTGTTGTTTAACGTAAAATATTMTTCTCGATCAAAAAATGGTATTAAATCCAGAAGATTTTTGCGCAATTATTTTGAATTCAAACGTATTTTGRGAAGGTYGTTCAAAATCAGTTGTTGTTCTAGAAACTATTAATGATGTGAGCAAACTGACATTGCAAAATCGTCATGCTACCTATGGAGGCATTACTCGGACTAGTATATAACAAAAAAAATTGTGCATGTTTTATCCCACAATTTGTCAATCGCTCCAAAAAGGCTCGTCTCGATTGGTCGAGAGAAATGTTAACAAAATAAGTGGTGCTTCATAACAAGTCTATGATATCGTGATAGGTGGATTTACGCGTATGAGCCCGAAATTAAACACCAGTCGGCTCTATGAGCCGAATCCAATAAAAGTTGTTTGCGCACGAAGGACTTCCAAGCAAATAGTCGGCTGTTTTTTTTTGAAAAACTGGATCAACGCCGAACAGTGGTAATCAACCATTTGTTTGCCAGTTGTCTTTCATGGAATCAGGAGAACCAACAGCCGATGACGGTCTTCACCATTAAAAGCGAGCCCACAAACATGATTTTTGAGCACTCAAACCATCAATTTGATGAGTCATMTTACCGTACACCATAGTCCAGAACCGAATGACTTCTTTTTATTCCCGTCCGAAAAAAATAATCAATATGTCAATGTTTCTTGACACCTGAAGGTGTGGTTAATGCTTTCAAAAGGCATATTTTGAAGAACCCGCAAAAGCGCTTCGTAAATTGGTGCAAGCGCATGCAAAATTATATAAATCTTAAAGAAGAATATTCGGAAAACCATAAAGCGATTTCCGACCCTTAAAATTTAAATCTAGTTTCCAATCTACTTACCGTTAAATACACATACAAGTTTTTCCTCATAACCAAATCATCATATGTCAAGCGCTTACTGTACTGATAATAACATTTCAATTCCTTGAATTTCCTTCTGTTTAAGTGAAAAATATATTTTGTTTGAACCAAAACCTTTCTCAACTGATAAGAAATATATATAAACTCATTTATTTCGCATGAAAGTGCAACTTGCAAGCTGATTATCCATGACTCAACTGCTCAAGAACAAAGATAAGAGAACAGTGAAATTCATTAATTAAAAATAAAATGCTTAACTTGATAACTGCAGCCAATAAAGTCGGCTTAAGATAATTTATGAAAATAAAAAGGAATACATTCCACTGCAAGGGCAATGAATTGGATAAAAACTTGCTGACTTCTTTAATACAGAAGGAACTCAAAAAATGGAGGCACTTGTCAGCAATATAGTAAGTGTTGAGTGATAGCTCATTTGTTCCACATGATTAGTCTACTATACACGTATCTAAGCTTTAGTCGCTCAAAATTCTTCACATCGTTTGTATCACACCCTGCTTGATATTGACTGGCAAGCTTTGGAATACCACTAACAGGAATATCAAATATCGGTATGTCGGTTATGATACCYATGTACCATATACATATAGACATATAAGCAAATTGCAAGTGCGACTTTGCGCATATCTTTGCGGTTTGCTTGCATTCTCACAGGTTATTTGATTTGCGTGGCTTGTTGATTATGGCAGCAACTGAGACAGATCAATGTTGACAAAATGCCAATGCCGTACTTCAAAGTTCAYAACGCCACCATGTTGGGAGATGGCAGTTATTATACCTAGCTACACTTGGTACGTTCTTTCGAAAAATATATAAGACAAGTCAACATGTTTTTCTTTGACTAATAATTTCYTGAAAATAATGGGTTTTAATTATCAAAATGGTTGGGAAGGTGAGCCCGTGTGTATACACGACTGAGAACTTGAAACCAATTTGTGATATATTGAGCAAATCAAGAGGACTTCWCAAAACTCAAATTATATTCGGAGATATAGGTATTTTCCTGACCCGGCATCCAAACTGGTTCCGCTGGAACTGAAACTTCAAACGCATTTTTCTCGAAACTGTCTTTTTCAAAACGAYACCCACGATTTCTCAGGTTCTACTCGAACGATTCASCTTAGATCTTTAGAACCAGATATTGCGGCATTAGTATTTTTTGGTTTCAGTTTGCTAAGAAGGGTGTAATTAGGGGCATGATCAGGTACCAATTTTTTGACGATACATTCATGTTCCTAGATTAAAATACATACTTAAGGCCTCACACTATCCTTCTGGAATACTCTTAACATATTTTAGAAGTGGACAAAGCCAAATCACATTCACATATCATATTCACATATATTCAAAATGGAATAGCCTTATAGTTATGTTTCTATATTAGACGATAGGGGCAATGCTATCACACACATATTACTACTGATAAGTAAAAATTCTCAAATATCTATAGCCGTGTTGGATCAATTGTCAAGAACTACTTTTAAAATCATAGATTCATATAAGTTGTCTCCTTGCCTTATCCCAAAATAAGTAAAAAATGTCCAAGTGTATCGAGCAAAAATAAATTGAAGTGTCGAATTTCGCACAGTCCATATTTACTAGTAAAATAATCTCAATACATATATTTTCATTCAGTGGCACAACTTCATTAACATTCTTAACAGTACAATGTGGATATGGCTAACCTTAAAATACATGTGTAGGTATATACAGACTACTCTACTCTAAATATTGAATTCTTTCGTTTTAAAAACATAATATGTTTGACATGATATGATACCTTAAAGAAGGTTGTCTTTATGCTTGTGCCTACCTATATTTTATATGTACGTTATTAAAATTGAAACTATATCTATGTATGTTTATTCATATGCTTTACTGATACGATATACATTTATATGTCTTAATACTTTTATACATTAGGTTAGTCTCTTAGTGATCAGAGCCTGAGTCGTATAAACCATAAAATTACACTCTTAACTAACTAAATGCTAAGTCACTTCATCACTAAGCTGATGATTTGTTAAAGAGTTCATCGAAGATTTACATCTCACTTCGCAATTGATATTCCGCTCATTTATATTGTTATTGTTACTTTTGTCCACTTTCTTCCTGGCATTGAGAATTTGTGCGACATCTGCATCGTCAATGGTGCCTTTGAATATGAGTGGATAGGGCCACTCGTGACATATTGTAGGCCCGCTATAATCACGTAAGGCACTAATGAGCGCATCTAAACGCTGCACTTCGAGCAGCTCCTCATTGAAGCTCTTCACTTCGTCCATCATTGTGTTGACATTCGATTCCAGAACCTGTGAATGAGCGGAGGAAACTAAGTATAAAATTATATGAAAATGTTTTAAATTAAAATTATTAAAGCTGCTCTAACTAAAATAAGGTACAGATACGTTTAGTTCAAATGTTAAAATTTTTGTTTCAGTGATACTGGTGCCCAAAAAAGGTGATATTTGAATTTAAACTACGCGCGTCGAAAGATTTGGAGAATTATATTTTTTTTTAGGTTGGTAGTTCTGTCAGTCACATTTATGTCAAATTTCATGCCAAAATATTCATTAGTGTTTGAGATACGAGTCGTTTTGTGAGCAGCTAAAAATGAGTTTTTCATTTTTTTGCGATGTCGAAATTTGTTGAGCAAAGAATTTGCATTAAATGATCATTTTGCCAAAAACTCAACCCATATTGTTCCGCAACCACCGTATTMACCTGATCTGGCGCCGTACGACTTCTGGCTGTTCACCAAGCTCAAAAGACTGCTCCGGGGATACCGTTTTTATACGATAGAGGAGATTCAAGCCGCAGCGAAGACGGAACTGAAGGCCCTCCCGGAAAGTGACTACAACCAGTGTTTCGAAGATTGGAAAGTCCGTTGGCATAATGTACTACATCTAGTGGGCATTRCTTTGAAGGGGATGAAATTGATTTGGAAGAATAAATAAAGAATTTTCAAAATAAATACAATGTCACCTTATTTTTTGGGCACAGTCCAATTGAGATAAATACCACATATCTGTAATTTTAACATAAACCGCAGAAAGCAAAGCTCAGATATCCCAAGGATGGTTTAAAAAACAAGAATCACTAAATTTTATTGTTTGTAATATCGGATAATGAGTTTTCAAAATCTGATGAGAAGTTTTTTACAATGCCTATTAATTTGTGAAGAAATTCTAGACTAAAAAAACCTTTGTTTTTTTCAGACAGTTTGTCGGATAATCGTGTTCGGATCTCTATTACCAAAGAACTTATTCCACTAAATATCCTATTTCGAACGTACTCTACATTTTATGAACGAAATTCTTCCGAGGAGTCGATTTCACTTGAGCATCCCTACTAAACCAAAAATATCGAAAATATAAAAATTTCGTATTTTTTACTTACTAGGATAGCTTGTAATTAAGAAGTACTCATATTCTATTGCTGTGTCCATCTGTCATATACATATTGTCAACAGCTAGTTTCAACGACACCCAACACCATTTTCAATGTTTTGTCATACCTAAATATTCGTTTATGTGCATAGGTTCGTAAATATGTACTTAAGCAGAGATTGAGGTTAAATAGTAACAAACAGACACAAAGGAAAGTGTTAAAGGTGGCAGATAAAGGTGTTTGTTTGTGATTTGTTGATGTTGCATTGAGTAAGTGGGTGCCACTTGGTTTGTTTGCCTTTCCGAGCAAAACTGTGAATTTCGTTCTATTTACATACCAAGTTTACATACATATACATATATACAAAACACATATAAATATATCCATATACAATGATGCGACTAAGCGACGCTCTCCGTATTATTGACATTGAGTAAATGCTGTAATTATTAAACACACAAATGGCACGAGACGATTTGGTTTGTGAGAGTGAGACCCCAACAGGGAAAATGTTCTATTTTCTCTCTCAATTCTACCACTTTGTTCAGAATTTCTCAAGTTTGAAGTGTAAAGTACTTTCATTACTATTGTACCCACTGCTTAACAATGTAACTTTGTAATAATATTATGAAACCCATACTTATCACCGTTGACAATCAGTTATTGTAAGCAAATAATGAAAATGTAATGTAATAGTGAAGAAATAAAGTAGAATAGGCAAATAGGCGGTCGTAGTAGCAGAGTGCTTTAAGTTTGTGACCGCTACTCGGTGGTGCTGAGCGGAGATCATAGATGGAAATAAGAAAAAACGCTAAAAATTGAAGAACTAGTTACATACAGATACACATAATTAAGTCGTTAGCTCGTCACGGTCATCACTTACATACAGATATATNAAATTTTATTGTTTGTAATATCGGATAATGAGTTTTCAAAATCTGATGAGAAGTTTTTTACAATGCCTATTAATTTGTGAAGAAATTCTAGACTAAAAAACCGCCGAGGAGTCGATCTCACTTGGGCATCCCTACTAAACCAAAAATATCGAAAATATAAAAATTTCGTATTTTTTACTTACTAGGATAGCTTGTAATTAAGAAGTACTCATATTCTATTGCTGTGTCCATCTGTCATATACATATTGTCAACAGCTAGTTTCAACGACACCCAACACCATTTTCAATGTTTTGTCATACCTAAATATTCGTTTATGTGCATAGGTTCGTAAATATGTACTTAAGCAGAGATTGAGGTTAAATAGTAACAAACAGACACAAAGGAAAGTGTTAAAGGTGGCAGATAAAGGTATTTGTTTGTGATTTGTTGATGTTGCATTGAGTAAGTGGGTGCCACTTGGTTTGTTTGCCTTTCCGAGCAAAACTGTGAATTTCGTTCTATTTACATAGCACGTTTACATACATATACATATATACAAAACACATATAAATATATCCATATACAATGATGCGACTAAGCGACGCTCTCCGTATTATTGACATTGAGTAAATGCTCTAATTATTAAACACACAAATGGCACGAGGCGATTTGGTTTGTGAGAGTGAGACCCCAACAGGGAAAATGTTCTATTTTCTCTCTCAATTCTACCACTTTGTTCAGAATTTCTCAAGTTTGAAGTGTAAAGTACTTTCATTACTATTGTACCCACTGCTTAACAATGTAACTTTGTAATAATATTATGAAACCCATACTTATCACCGTTGACAATCAGTTATTGTAAGCAAATAATGAAAATGTAATGTAATAGTGAAGAAATAAAGTAGAATAGGCAAATAGGCGGTCGTAGTAGCAGAGTGCTTTAAGTTTGTGACCGCTACTCGGTGGTGCTGAGCGGAGATCATAGATGGAAATAAGAAAAAACGCTAAAAATTGAAGAACTAGTTACATACAGATACACATAATTAAGTCGTTAGCTCGTCACGGTCATCACTTACATACAGATATATATATATATGTATGTATGTACCCTAGGGTCTACGACCTTTTCTTGCGCTTATTACGAAACTTCGTGGTACACTTTATAGTAYAACAGTTCAGTGTATGGAAAGTTCAAAATGTGCTACATCTGACATAAAAAAGTTATATCTTAAAGCAGGCGCCTACTGCGTGGCCTGAACTTACTGGTACTTTTCCAGATAACATATAAACACCAACTAATTATGAGTACAGTAATTGAGTTTTATAAAGATCAAGCTTATTTCCCGCATAGATCTCGGAAACTTTTCGACATTGGCATTTCTTGATAGGATCAGCTAAACGTTTTCCGGAAAACTATGGCTTGTTCTAGCTCTATTTAGCCTGTTGTATCTTATTATTGGGATCATTTAGTTTTTAGAAGATTGATTTTGGACCTCAGGCTAGTATTGAATAATAATTCCTAKTGATTCTCTGTAAATTGGTTTGRCACTCTAAACAAGATATTWTTTTATTACTAAAATTTTTTTGATAATATAAGTAAATAAATTTTATTAGTCTGGGAAATATAATTCTACGATTTCTATTAAAGTATATAGAGCAAAGATATAGATACCATAGGGTCTTTTCGACATCTAAGCTTCGAGAAAATCCCTTAGGTACTATAAAATATACGAGTTATACTAAAAAATTTTAGTAACAATCTGAAGTATCGATAAAATATGGTTAAGCATATGCGTGTACATATATATTTGTATAAAATAACTGTTTGTGCAATTACCAAAAATTCAATATGCAAATTTATTACACATTTCAACATTTGACGTACACGATTGCGTAGCTTTTCGATTGTCAGCAGATGCCGCTGCATGACATTAATTGACGTTTCGCTTGTCATATTTTTTGCTTATATTTTGACTAAATAATTGACAAACCGATTGTATGAACGCTTCACACATCTGCATGCATGCGCGTATGTATGCATAATAAACGGYAATATATTGTAATATGTACTGCGTTATTATTGTTTGTTGTTGTTAACTGTAATTTGCATGCGAAGTAACTTGTTTATTTTGAAACTCGTCGTTGCTACTTAGTCCTACTCTAGTTGTAGGCGTTGGAAAGCACTTTTTGCACAAACTATTTTGGAATTAGATTTTCGMTTTACGTGGGCTTTAATGTGTGTTYGAAATGTTGCACGTGTGTTACATATATTCATATTTTATTATATTTTGTTTGTCGTTAATTTGCATTTGTGGGAAAATCGCTATCCTCTGCACACACTTCTTTCAATTCATTTGATATGATTTTCTCATTATAATTTGCTACTTCGTGTCACGCGCAACACCCGCCTTCTCGCCTTCCCGACGTCTGCTTTTTTACACTKAGATATGCGTTAATGACCTGCGTTGCATGCCACAGTCGAATAGATGACGCAACAATGTGTGGATTTATAAAGCAACTGTCACACATATATGTACAAATTCATACAAATCATAGAACGTTTGCTYACAGAAATTACTCTGATAGCGTGTGTTTGTGTTTGTGTGTGTGCGGTCTCGCTTTTGTAAAAAATGTACATTAGATATCAACTAGTAGATAGAAAAACATTTCTCCAACAGGTACACCCGTCGCGGTCATTAGTGTCAACATGATTGCATGGCAAGCCAGCGCACACATACAGCAAGCTAGTAACACACGGTTGTACACAATTAGGAAAGCATTTGCTCACGCCGCAGTGTCTGCGCTTCAGCTGTTTTGCGTCGTACTTGTTGTCAGGTCATATGCTTCGGCTTTAACCGTTAGCCTCTACTAAGCCACATTACCACCGCGCCGTCTCCAGGCAACTCGCGCACAAAGCGTAAGGGAACCGCCACCCGCCGCCAAACGTAAGGCCGTTAGATAGAAAAAGCTTTCTTTCGGCTRTCGTACGCGTTTAAAATARAAATCACACTGTGACGTTTGTAGCTGCGGGTTTTTGTATGCTTTTTTGCGAAAATGGTTTTCGTCATCTAGCGTTACTGTCAGCGGTCTAGCTATCCATCGGCAAGTATGGTGAGCGACTGATGAGCATTCGTGCAGCCTGAACTGAATGCTTTAGCTGGCGTGCACTCACCGACATTTACATGTTTGTATTTGTTTTTCATTGTTTTATATTTTTATTTATTCTTACTTACGTTTGGTTTTTGTATTCATTTCACTAAGAATGACAAAGTCACTCACTGCGCGTTTGTCGTAAGCTCCGACGCTCGCAGAAGAGCATTTTATTACTCAATTGTTCTAATGCGCTTGCCAACGAGGAGGTTATCAATTCAATTGAAAAAAATATCACCAACAATCGAAGAAGATTTTTTGGCGTTTGATTTTGAAAATACCTATCAATTGAATTACCTATCATTGGCACTAGTTTTCCTTTCAATATCCGTCTCATATGATCTAAGAACAARACAAAGTCACTGAAAGCCCAATTTGTGCCATTTTGCCACGGTTTTGGTTGGAATCATTTCGATGTGTTCGTTAGGATCAACTGTTGTTTTTATGYTTTCAAAACTATTGCGTTTTATTCTCAACCAACAAACCATAACTCTTATAATGAACCTTTTTCTGGCTTGGTGCGGTTCATTTAGAAACCTAGTTTGATCCAAGTTTTTGCCTTCCATATTTATGGCTTCGTACACCATAATCGTTATCACCAGAAAGTAACCTGCCGTTGCCGAAATTGTAGGATTACTTAATTCCTAACTACCGATAACGAATTAGACGAAAGTCTGGGGATAAAAATTATTAGATTTGCTGGTAAAATTTTTGTYATCAGAAATTTTTGTAGAAATAGTTGCTTATGTGCGACTATTGCTATGAGTTCGTCGGTTTTATGAGTAAAATTTTTAGCTTTTCAGATAAAAATCGGTAACACCAGTTCAAT